GTTGAATGTTTTCTAAAGCAGTTGTATCATTTTGCATTGCCCCAGCAGTGTGGTTCCAGTTTGAGTTGCCCCATATCTTTGTTAACACTTAGTATTGTCAGTCTGTTAAAATTTCCACCATCGTAGTTGGTAACACTGTGCTTTTGAGAGTTGATTCCTATTGCTGTCTCTAGTTTGTTGCTTTTAAGTACTGCAAACTCCTCCATTGGGGGGCCACCACATTCTATCATCCACTCGCTGATTAATGGTAACCAGGTTTCTTCTAATTTCCACCACAGCAAAAAAACTCTGTGACAGACAGCTTAACCTGCCCCTTTGTGATGTGCATAATCATTACCTTTGTGCAGACACCCAGAAGTGGAACTACTGGGTCTTAGTATGTACATATACTTCATTCAACCAAGCAATGCCAAGTTAATTTCCAAAATAACTACACCAATGTACGTTTACACCAGCTGTGCATAAGAGCTCCCGTGTTTCCACATCTCTGCTAATACTTGGGGTTACTTAACTTTGACATTTTATTAAATCCATCTAACAAATATAAAGCAGTTTGTTATTTGCATCTGCATTTCTTGGATACCTGATGAGTCTGAGCATATTTTGTATTAGTTTTTTGGGTTTCCTTCTCTATAAATCTGTTCATGTCCTTTGCTCTTTATTATATTTTTGCAGGGCTTCCTTGCATATTTGAGTCAATATGTCAACCTCAAGTCAATAGTACAGATTGCAAATGTCACCTCTCAAGCTGTTACATGTTGATTTACCTTGTCCATTGTGTCTTTTGTGGAACAGAAATCTTTAACTTTGATGCAAGGAAATTAAACATTATTTTGCCTTTAGATTTGTCTTTCTGAAGTTTTAAGAAAGACCAGGCACAGTGGCTCATGCCTGCAATTCCAGCACTTTGGGAGGCTGAGGCAGGCAGATCACTTGAGCCCAGGAGTTCGAGACCAGGCTGGGCAACATGGCAAGACTCTGTCTCTACAAAAAATACAAAAATTAAGTGGGCATGGTGGCATGCACCTGCAGTCCCAGCTACTTGGCAGGTTGAGAGATGGGAGGATTGCTTGAGCCCAGGAAGTTGAGGTTGTAGTGAGCTGTGATTACATCACTATACTCCAACCTGGGCAACAAAGTGAGACCCTGTCTCAGAAAAAAAAAAAGAAACAAGGAGAAGAAGAAAAACAAAAAAAGAAAGAAAGAGGAAGAGAAGAAGTCCATCCTCTACCATTATCTTCTATTAGCTTCATAGTTGCTTTTAGGTCTTAAAGTTATTTGATGTTAAGGGCCATTGTTACATATACCTACTTGAGTAATGGGAAAAGTGAGACATAAAGAAGGTGAGTAACTTGAAGGCTACACAGTTCAACAAGTGACAGTTAGCATTCAAACCCAGGCAGCCCAGCCTCCGAAGCTCTGTTCCATAGCTGCTATGTCATGCTGCTTCTCCACTGACGAGGATCTGTGATTCAGAAGTTGCTGTGTGCAGAGCCTTTAAATGCCAATCTTTTTGCTCTGTCCTCCCAACAGCCCTGAGCAGTAGGGCCTGTTATTACCAGATTAAGGAACTGAGGTTCACAAAAGATAAAGTGGCAAAACCAGATCTTTCAGACTCCACCCTTTGTGCTTTTGAACACTGATTCCAGGAATCATGCTGGAATCGTCCTCAATATTCACCCTCGCCCCCACACACACAGTTGATCCTCATTATTCGTGGAATTTGTATTTTCAAATTTACCTGCTTGATAAAATCTGTGCGTCGCCCCCAAACCAATACTCTTGGGACTTTTGCGGCTGTTTGCAGATACACACAGAGCGGTGAACAATTTGAGTTGACTGAGGTGTGTGCGCTCCCAGCTGAGGTTAAGGTGATGCTCTCTTTCCCTTATTTCAGCTCTCATTCTGTAAACAAGCATCCTTTCTGTGGTCTAGTTAGTGCCGCGTTTTGCACGTGTTCGTTGATGTCTCGGTTTAAAATGTCCCCTCAGCACAGTGCTAAAGTGCCATCTAATGTCCTAAGTGCTAGAAGGCTGCGATGTGCTTTATGGGAAAATACACAAGCCTGGGTGTAGTGGCTCATGCCTGTAATCCCAATACACTGGGAGGCCAAGGTGGGAGGATCCCTTGAGTCCAGGAGTTTGAGACCAGTCTGGGCAAAAGAGGGAGACTCCATCTCTACAAAAATAAATTAAAAGAAAATTATCTGGGCATGATGATGCATGCCTGTAGAGCCCCCCAGCAACTCAGGAGGCTGAAGTGGGAGGATCACTTGAGCCTGGGAGTTCAAGGCTGCAGTGAGCTATGATTGCACCACTGTACACCAGCCTTGGCAACAGAGTGAGATCCTGTCTCAAAAAAATAAAATGAATAAAATAAATTTTGAAAAATTAAAAGAGAAAATACACATTAGCGAAGCTTCATTCAAGAATGAGTTACACTGCCATCAGCTGTGAGTTCAATGCATATATATTAAACAGGTGTCTTTAAAGAGAAACACACCTAAAACAAGGTTACATATTGATCAGGTGACAAAAACATGGCCTCCAAGGCCATCACCCTGGTCCAGGACCTGTCACCTTTTGCCTGGGATGTTGTAGTCCCTTCCTCTCTGGCCTCCCTGAATCTGTTCCCCTTGGAGTAGGCAGAGGAATCCTGTGCACATTCAAATCGGTTCAAGTCCCTCCTCTACTCAGAGTCCTCTCGTAGCTCCTGGCTCCCTCAGAGTAAAATAAAGTCCTCATCATGCCCCATGGGACCCAGTACAGTCGGCTCCGTTCATTCTCTGCCCTCACCTCCCACCCTCTCCTCACTCGCTCAGCTCCAGCCACACCAAACTCTTCACTGATCTTCAGACACACCAAAAAGGCTCCTGCCCCAGGGCCTTAGGAGCGGCTGTACCGCCTGCTCCACACGCACTTTGCTGCTTCCCTTTACCCTTGGGGTCTTTCTTTAAATGTTCCCATTTCAGTTAGGTCCTCTTCCCTGACCATGCTGTTTAAAATTGCAATGCTACCCCTTCCACATATACAATGCAACACTCCCAATTCTTAATCCTTGCTGCTTTTTTTTTTTTTTTTTTTTTGGAGACAGGGTCTTGCTCTATCACCTAGGCTTGAATGTAGTGGCACAATCACGGCTCACTGTAGCCTCAAGCTCCTGGGCTCACACAATCCTCCCGCCTCAGCCTCCTGAGTAGCTGGAACTACAGGCTCGTGCCATCACATCCAGCTAATTTTTAAAACTGTTTTGCAGACATAGGGTCTTGCTATGTTGTCCAGGCTGGTCTTGAACTCCTGGCATCAAACAATCCTCCCACCTTGGCCTCCCAGTGTTGGGATTACGGGCAGGAGCCACCACACCTAGCCCTTGTTTCATTTCTTGCCATGGCTTGTAGCACCGCCTGACAGCCTATTTCTTTATTCATCTTTGTTATGGAGACTTCCTGAAAAGAATGCAAGTCCTACCAGGGCAGAAGTTTTTATCTGTTTAATTCATTGCTTATCATTTGCATCTGCAACAGTGCCTGGGTCATGGTAGGTAGAAATACCTGTTGAATAAGTAAACTATATTTACCAACACCCAGGAGACTGCTCGTACATGGTCAACACTGAACAAACGTCTCCTGAGGAAAATAAATGAGTGCGACACTTTTTTGGGACACTGCAAATTTGAAGGGCTGTTATTCACATTCTAAGGTAATATTTTATGGGAACCATGCAGATAATAGCGAGCAGTGCTTGACGGTATCCTTGTAATAATGCTACAATAAAAAATTATGAACCCATTTTACAGATGAGAAAGCACAGGGACTGCGAGGTTTTTTTTTTTTTTTTTTTTTTTGAGACGGAGTTTCGCTCTTGTTACGCAGGCTGGAGTGCAATGGCGCGATCTCGGCTCACCGCAACCTCCGCCTCCTGGGTTCAGGCAATTCTCCTGCCTCAGCCTCCTGAGTAGCTGGGATTACAGGCACGCGTCACCACGCCCAGCTAATTTTTTGTATTTTTAGTAGAGACGGGGTTTCACCATGTTGACCAGGATGGTCTCGATCTCTTGACCTCGTGATCCACCCGCCTTGGCCTCCCAAAGTGCTGGGATTACAGGCTTGAGCCACCACGCCCGGCCCGGGACTGTGAGTTTTATAACTTGTCCAAAGCAAGGATTTAGTGACTGAAATCACTAAATCACTACATTTTACAGTCATGGACAAAGATATAACAGCAAGGGACACTGAAGAAGGATGTTCAGGGAGGGGATACGGGACAGAATATTTGATAGACAATATAGTTCAGGCAAAGATACCCTTTGGTATACTGAACCCCGTAACTCTAGAGTCTAGGGTGCTATTGATTCAGAGAGAGGAATGTTGGCAGAGGTGGGGTATTGGAAGAATGCGGGAGGTAGATTGGGTTGGAACCTCTGGGACACCCATAACAGTGTGAGAATGAACCATTGTCAGGAGCCAGTGTTAGCTGTGGTGAGTCACGGAGGTACATAGAGTGTTGTCAGAGCAGAAGATCGTGGGCATAAGAGAATATTTTCAGGATGAACTATCATGGGAGTCTAGAGCCCTCTTGAGTGTAAAAGGTAGAAAGGTCTAGAACACTGGCATTGAATAAATACTTGAAGAGTTGGAGGATGTTAAGGATGGTCCATTTATAGGACGTATATTGTTGAGATGGGCTGATGGAAGTATTTAAGAATGTTCCACAGACAGAACATTCAAGTGGTGATCTGGGCTCACAGAAGCCATGGATGCAGTTGAGAGACCTGGGCCGTTGTCTGGGTTGGGACATTCAGGTTGTTGACATGTTTCAGGGATGCAATATCTGGGTGACTGCAGGCCTGGCAGTGCCTGAATGCTTCTGAAACATAGGATGTCAGCTGGGCTTGAGCATGTTTGAGGACATGGATCACTGGTTCAAATGGAACACTGGGAAGGAGCAGAGAAGGGCTACATAGACAATGTGAGGAAGTCATGGTGAGAGGATGGATGCAGGTAAGTTTCTCAACTTTTATTTTGGGCCCTTCGTCCATTTTTGCTGCTGGGTTTCATATTTTTGAATTGTTTCACGGATCCACAGGATGTATCTTGAGACACGAGTGTAGACACCAGGCCGGTCAGGCTGCCCACATGGGAAGTCTCCCCAGGAGATGATGCCATGCAGTGTTCTGTTACAGACCAGGGGGCCCCCAGAGTCACCCTGAGTTGGGGGGAGAAAGAGAAAGAGAATGGTGGGTCCTCACTGGGGCTAAACAAGGCAGGGACAGGGAGATGTGGGGAGAGAGTGAAAGATGGAGAGAAACACACACAGAGAAGGAAAGTCAGAGAGGCAGAGTCAGACACACACACTGTGAGGGAAAGCAACAAAGACAGTGAGAAACAGATAAGACAAACACAGAGGGACAGACAGCAAGAGACAGAAAGAGGGACAGAAAGACAGAGATAGGCCCAGAGAAAGAGACACAGAGAGAGAAATTTCTGTGCCTTTCTCTGTTCCTCAGTTGCATTAAAATGGTAACAACTTATTTCATACCCATTTTTGTATCCCTGGTACTGAATTCCACCTTGCACCCCTGCCCCACAGCAGCTGACCCTGCTTTTACTTTAAGGTTCCTCTGTGCCTCTCACTATTGAGTGAACTCATCCACGCCTGGGCAGGGTATGCAGTACACGTGTACATCTGTTTCTCTTCCTGGGCCCAAGGCAGACATCACTAATCGATCAAGGCACGTATCATTAATATGGTATCGTACTCTTTCTCGCTGAATCAAATCTCAACTTCTTTATTGGATGCAGGTTGCTTTTTGCTCATGTAGTATCCATTTCTTCTGATTTAAAAAATATTAAACATTTATTTTTAAATTTTTATTTATTTTTTAGAGACTGTGTCTTGCTCTATTTATTTCTGTTTGTTTTTGAGACAGGGGCTTGCTCTATCACCCAGGCTGGAGTGCAGTGGCATGATCATACCTCACTGCAGCCTGAACTACTGGGCTCAAGTAGTCCTTCTGCCTCAGCCTCCCAAGTAGCTAGGACTACAGGTGTGCACCATCACACCTGGCTAATTTTAAAACTTCTTCTTTTTTTTTTTTTTTTTTTTTTGTAGAGACAGAGTCTCACTATGTTGCCCAGGCTGGTCTCAAACTCCTGGGCTCAAGTAATCCTCCCGCCTCAGCCTCCCAAAGTGCTGGGATTACAGGCACGAACTACTGTACCTGGTCATTTCTTCTTATTTTGGTAACAGCCTCTCCTGATTTTTTCATTTGGGGAATGGTCCCTCTCCAGCCCCCACAGTTAACCATGTGACTCAGGCTTGGCCCGTCAGAGAACCCCACAGTTCTGGTGGAGTGATGGCTCAGGACACATGCCTTAGGTCAGCCTCGTCTAGTGAGGATCATGCTCAAGGCTTTCGTGTGAACTATTGGAAAGGAGAGGTTCTCTTTCTAATAGGGTTGCCTAGAGGGTAGGATGTAAGCTCAAAGCTGCTGGGGCCATCTTGTCTTGGGAAGTGCCTAACTGAGAATGAAGCCAACACAGAATAGAGAAGACCTTCTAGAGTTGAAAGACAGAATTCCAAACACACAATTTGCATACCTGGATCCATCTGCACCTAAAGCCAGACACCCTGGATTTTCAGTTACAAAAGCCAGCATTTTGCTTAAGCCAGTCTGAGTTGGGTTTCTGTCACTCACGAGTGAAAGAATAGTAACCTTTATGCATCTCAACACAGGGATCTGGGCAGCCACTCAGGTAAAGCTGGAGCGTATGATGAATTATTCTTGCCATCCCTGGGTCCCCCTTTTTGTTTCGACCTCCTATGTGAGGGGACGTTGCACCTTATAAATATTGGTTCCCCTAAAGCTGGAAACAAAGCCTTTTCCCCAGCATCTGTTCCCACTTCCATTCTGGCTTTCTGTCCTGTTCAAGGCACCCAGCAGCCTCCTGGTCTCACCTCACAGGAGTCCTTGCCACCCTCTTTTGTGCCGGCACACAACATGTTGGCAGTGATCTTTCCTGGGTAGACTTGATGACACTCCTCATCTGAGCGAAGTTGGATGTTGGCACATTGTAGAGTTTTGGGGTAACTCACTGGGGAGAAGAGAGAGAAGGTCTAAGGTATCTGACCTGGATAGGATATGGGATGAAAGTTAAATAGGCAAGTTGAATGGGTAAAGAGTTGGTAGAAAATAGAGATGGGAAGAGAAGGATGGGAGAAGAGATGAGCACGTATCTGGGTAAAACAATGGAAGTGACAGAAAAATGGAGGGGCATGGGAGAGAGGCGAAGGGAGAGATGAGGAGAAAAGTGGAGGGAAGGACAGGGAGGGAAGGGACAAGAGAATGGGAGGTTGATGAGGAGAGTGGTGGAGCCAGTGATGGGGAAAGAAAGTTGGAGAGAGGAAGTTGGAATAGGGAGATGGTCAGAAATAGAGAATTAAACATGGGAAAAGCAGGAACAGGGATGGGAAGAGTTATGGGAGAGATTAATAGAATGGTAGAAAGGGAGATGGGCATGCTGGGGAGAAGGATATAAACATGAAGCTGGGAGAGAGTCAGGGATTGCTATGGAGATGCAAAGGGCTCTTGTTGGTATATACATCAACTTTATATTCATATATATAATTTATTATCCTTAATAAGTAATGATCTATAATTAAATTATTAAATTTAATTATTGGAAGCTTCATTAATAAAGCATATTTAATATATTAAACATCTTATAAATTATAGAAATATAAAAATTTTATATGTATGATTTATATAGTATAAATGATAAAATTCATTTAGCTTTTAGATATATAAATGTATAATTTATATATTATAGATTATATATTTATGATATCTATATCGAGAAATACATATTTAAAATACATAATTGATAAATTTTATAGTTTATAAAATACATTTATATAATTTTTGTATAATATATAAATATATTACTATATAATACATAATATACATCATAGAGTATATTCACATATATTTGATCTATTTATGTTTGTATATATTCACAAATTTATACACATTTATATAGAGGATACAGCTAACTTTGTATATATTTATTTACTTATTTATATTTTTATATATAACGGTGTCTACCTCAGACCTTCCCTCCCACCTCTGCCCCTGTTTCCTCAGCCACTCCTATGGGAACCTCAGGCCACCCATGTGGGTGCATACCCTGGGGGCTGGTGGTGGTGCCCCAGCCAGACACCCGACAGGTGGTGCCGGGGGTTATGCAGTTGTTGTGGGAAAGGGGCAGGGTTTGGATGTAGCCTGTGAGCTGGACCGGGGACTGCAGCTCCAGAAGCATGATGTCGTGGTCGTGGTTCAGGTGGGTGGGGCTGCTCCGGTATTCGGGGTGGGGAACAGAGCGGACAACTTCCCTCACCTGCTCACCAGCCTCCACACGACCTAGGGCATGCTTGCCCAGGTAAACTTTGAGCCCCCTGCGGGTGCAGGAAAAGGGTGGTTAGGAATGAAGATGAGCCCACCTCCATCCCAATCCCAAGTCCCAACCTCTTCCCATCCTCAGCCTCACCTCTTCTGCATCCTCCCTTCCTCATCTCCAGACACATCACACCCATCCTCAACTGCAATCCCATCCAAATCCCCTACTTTGATTCTATTCCCATACCCAGTCCCCATATCTCAACCCCAAGCCTCATTCTCACCCCCATGTCCGTTCCAACCCTAACTCCAACTCCATCCTCAAATTCAGCTTTACCCACCCACAATCCCAGTCTCATTCTCATCCCTACCCCATGCTCCCCTGGCCCCCACATACTCCTTCAGACAGTGTGCGGCGGTGAGGACCCATTTGGGGTGGACCAGGACTCCCCCACAGAGTAGCCGCCCTTGCACTAGTAGAGCTGCCTGCCAGGGCTGAGAGTGGGGGAAGCAGGTGTAGCCACCTGGGAGAAACCCACTGGTCCCATTGTTGTTGAGAATCTTGGAAGATTCTTGGGAGATGCCTGGTAAAGAAGAGAGATTGTTAGAAAACTGGGATCCAGGGTGCAGAGGAGCCCTGGAGTTGTGGATCCTGGGCTTGGGGAAAGGATCAGACTATTGCCCTGGGTGACCAGGAACTAAAGCTGAGTTTGTCGACCTCTGGCAGTTGCTATTCTCGACCAAGTGAAGATGAGTCAGGGCAAGGAGGTGACATTCTTTTCCAAAGAAGTGCCAAATCCTCCACTGGGGTTTAAGAGAAGAGTCGACAAAATGAGGATGTTACTGATAGGTAAGCAGGAGCCTGACTTTCTCCCCATATGCATTTTCTATATCATTCTCCCAGAGGATGGATTTCAGGAGGTAGATGTGAGACTGGCCTACACATCCACCTAGGCAGTATCTGTCCATCAGTCTATCCAATCATTCATCCTATTGATTTGTCCCTCCGTCTACTCATGCATCTATCCATTCATCCATCCACCCACTCATCCATTTATCCATCAATTCATCCACCCATCTATCCATCCACTCATCCATCCATCCATTCTTCCATCTGTCCATCTACTCATCCATCCATCCATTCATCCATCCATGCATCCACTCATCCATTTATTCATCCATCCATGCATCCATCCACCCACTCATCCATGTATCCATCCATCCACCCATCCATCCACCCACTCATCCAATTATCCATCAATTCATCCACCCATCTATCCATCCACTCATCCATCCATCCACTCTTCCATCTGTCCATCTACTCATCCATCCATCCATTCATCCATCCATGCATCCACTCATCCATTTATTCATTCATCCATGCATCCATCCACCCACTCATCCAATTATCCATCCATCCACCCACCCATCCATCCATCCATCCACTCACCTACCCATCCATCCATTCATTTATCCACCCATGCATCCATCCGACCATCTTTCCACCCATCTCTTTATCCTTCCACTGCATACATACTGGTTGCCTCAGTGGCTTTAAATATCATCTATAGGCTAACCATCTTCAGCCCTGAACTCTTCCTTTAAGCTCAGATCTCAAACACTGTTGATCTGAATGCCTTACAGCCATCTTAAGCTTTGTATTCCCAACTTGATCCTTCTCAGTCAAAACTGTTCCCTCCACTCTTTCCCACTCCAGTCAGTGCTCAGCCCCAAACCTGGGAGTCATCTTTGCTCTCCTCTTTCCTTCATCACTCACGATCAATTCCTGTTGGTTTTATCTCCCAAATACCTGCTATCTCTACTCTTCCACCACCATCTTGGTACGAGCCCCATCTTCTCTAGCCCAAATGACTACAATATTAACCTAGATCCTTCCACTTTTACATCCCTCTAATCCAGTCTTCTCAAAGCAGGCTGAGGACTCTTCAAAGAAAGTCAGATGATGCTGTTTCCAGGCTTGACTTCCTTTAAAATTAAATCCAAAAAGCCTTCCCAAGGTGTGCAGGACTCTGTGCTGCCTGGCCCTTGCCAACCTCTTTGACCCCCGTCTCCAGCCTCTCTCTTCTGACTTCCTCTGGTACAGCCTCATGGACCTGTTCTTCAAACACACCAGACATTTAAAGAAAAAAATTATTTAGATCATCTTGGATGCCCCCACACTAGACATTTTATACTTGCTACTTCCTCTCTCTGGACAGTCCTTTCTCCAGACCTGCATTGTTCAGCACGGTAGCTACTAGCTACCTGTGGCTATTTAAATTTAAAGTAATTAAAATGAAGTAAAAATAAATTTAAAATTCAGTTCTTAAGTCACACCAGCCACATTTCAAATGTTCAATAGCCCAAAGTGGCCAGTGGTTAATTGGACAGCACAGATATAGGATATTTCATGTGCGTGTGTATATATATACATATATGTGGAATATTCTACTGGATGACCCTCAGAATCTAGAGGTTGTATGTCTGGGTCCTTCTTAATTCTGAGAGCTCAGCTCAAATGTCTCCTCTTCATAGAAGCCTTCCCTGACCACCTGGTCTAATGTTGACTCTCCTGTTGCCACTCATTCGCCATTACATTCTTCCAGTGGATTTTCATCAGAACAATGATTGCTATTCATTTTTCTTCACATTTGTATACATTCGTTTTTTTTTTTTTTAATCTCTCCATTTTGGCTGCAAGCCCCATTGACAGGCACCTTAACTGCTTTATTCAGAACCAGATTCCCAGAACCTAACACAATGCCTGGCACACACGTCGTGGGGGCTCAATAAATGCTGTGTGTGCCAGGCACTGTGTCTGGCATTGGAAGCACAGCAGGGGTCTGTGGGACAGGGAGAATCCTATCCTGAACATGCCTGCCATTTTGTGACGGTGTGACCTTATGCAAATTGCCAGCCTCAGCTTCCCCAGCTGTCAAGTAGAAAAAGTAATAGTTCATCTCTCATTGAGCAGTTGAAGAATTCAAGATGATCGTGAATTTCAAACCATACGGCACAGCAGATGGCACAGAGAGCATCCAGCCAGTGGACAATGTTAGTATCAATTATTAGCTACAACAGGAAATCCCTCCTCCATGGCTGGCTTCCTCAACGACAGGGCAAGCGGTGGGATTAGCCCAGTGGTTTTCCGTTAGGGATAGGAGTTACC